AAAATCGATTTTCGTGGTGGGCCCTAGGAAACGTTCCCACTAGGAAACGTTCCCACGAGGAATGATGATGAACTAGAAAAGGAGTTGGGTACAAATAAGTAACCCTAGAAAACTGTACCCCATACTGTCTTCCCCACTACAGCTTAACAAGACTATAGCATAAATGTTTGACACAGTTCTCGCTGGTGATTTCAACTCGGTCGTTCTCCCCGAGGACCGCAATCGCACTCTGCATGGTCATGAACAAAGCGAAGCCTCCTCACTCTCGAACCTCCTGTCATCCCACTCCCTCCTGGACTCCTTTCGTGCCCTTCATCCCACAACCACACTCTTCTCTTACATTGGCCGGCAACGGCTCAATGTTCTCCCGCCTCCCCCCCTTCCGGCCGCTCGTCTGGACCGCATCTACGTATCTACTACCTTCCTCTCCCGCCTCCATGCGGCCCACTACCTTCTCACACCCTACCTTATCTCGGATCATCTGTTCGCCCCATTGTGTTCGCTAGGTTTTAACAACCCCATCATGGCCCCACGTCCATGGAGGCTTAGCGCCTCTCTGTTGCGCCGCCCACACATCGCCCACATTCTAGACACACAGCTTCCACGTCTCCCCTCCCACTCGTCTCCAGATGACTGGGACCACTGGAAACAACAACTCTCTCTTCGCCTCAAGTGCTTCGCCAACCAGGAGCGGCGTCGTGTCTCAGGAACCATGGCCCACCTGCGCCACCTTATCGGTCGCCTACAAACCCAAGCTGCCTGCTCCGCCCTGAGCATGGAGGACAACTCCCGCCTCAGCAAAGCTCGACTACAACTCATGAAATATGAAGCCACCAAAACCGCCGAGCTGGCCCTCAAAGCCAAGCTTAAGGTCGAAGGCCATCGCGAAATGGGTCTCTCTTCGTTACTCGCCGGTCTTAACGCTCGCATCAAAGCCTCACTCATCTCGTCTCTTACGCTGTCGAATGGCGAAACTTCCTCCCACCTTCCATCAATGACGGCGGAATGTACCCGTTTCTTTCGGCATTTATACTCTGGTTCCACGCCTGTCATCCCCAACCCCTCATTCTGGAGTCACATCCCTCGCTCCACACTGCCCGACTCGCTTACCCGCCTCTTGCAGTCACCTTTCTCCCTCTCTGAAATCGGGAAAGCTCTTGGACAACTATCGCGGGGTAGAACTCCTGGTCCTGACGGCCTCCCTAGCGAGCTCTTTCGAGCGTTCACGCCTCGATTTGCCCCTGCCTTTCACTCCTTACTAGGCTCACATCCCCCTCCCTCGCTACCTCCGTCCATGCTCTCCGGTCGAACTGTCCTCATTCCCAAGAAGGGTGACTCGACGCTCGTAGAGAAACTTCGACCCATCACGCTCATGAACTCCGACTACAAAGTGCTTGCCTTGTGCCTCGCCAACCGTCTTCAGCGTGTGCTCCCTCACATCATTCACCCGTCCCAGACCGCTTTCATCAAGCGCCGTAAAATTGGTGATACCATTAACGACACTCTTGACATCATGGATTGGGCCTCCTACTCCCGCACTCCCCTTCTCGCTCTTACGGTCGACTTCCGCAAGGCATACGACCTTGTCGACCGAACTTTTCTCTTGCAATCCCTCTCCCACCTGGGCCTACCCTCTCCATTTATCGACTGGGTTCGCATCATGCATTCTGGCACCTCCACGTGCATTGCCGTCAACAACCTTGCGGGCCCGCTCTTCCCTGTCCGCACTGGTGTTCGTCAAGGCTGCCCCTTGGCCCCCCTCCTCTTTGTCTGCGTCATTGAGATTTTCCATCGACAAATGTCCCTATACCTGCCAGGATTTCCCCTGTCTCCCCTGTCTCGCCGTCTTATGGCCTGTTACGCGGATGATGTAACAATTTTTCTCTCGTCTAATGATAAACTCGGTTCGGCAGTTGCTCACCTCCTGACTTTCGCCTCAGTTTCTGGCGAATCCCCTAATTGGAACAAATGCTCCATTATCCCCTTCAACATCTCCTCGTCACTTCTCTCTAATGCCGAGCCTATTCCCATTCGTGCTCCCAATGAGGCGGAACGCATCCTCGGGATCTTCGTTGAGAAAGACAACCTCGGCGCCACTACCTGGAATACAACCCTCGCCAGAGTCCAACGCTCCTCCAGATACCCCGCTTCCTTGCGGGCTACGGCCACGTGTCGTAAATCTCTCGCGTCGGTCTTCTTGAACTCTACCCTCTCTTTTCCCGGCCGTTTCCAACCTGCTCCGCCTGACACCCTTACACGCCTCGACACCACTGTTGGTAACTTCTTATCCTCCTCCCGCTACAAGGATTCCGGCCTCGCGGTTCGCCTCATTCCCCGCCGAATTCTTTTTAACTCCCCCCGTGACGGGGGACTCGGCGCCATTGCGCCCTCTACACAGATCCGCGCTCTCTCCATCCAACGCGCGCTTCGACGTTTTGGGGTTTCCCCCTCTGAGGAAGTGGCTAGGAACGCCGTCGCCCTCCCTTTCGGTACTCATGCTTTCCTATCTCACCCAGCAATTCTCCAGCCTAAGGTTCTGTCCCCGTCCATCCCCCAACGTGCGCTCGCAGAACTCCGCGCCTTTCTGTCTATGTCACCCACTATCCCCCCCCCCACGAATGACGCCTTTGTGCCTTCTCGCCGAACCGACGGCCTTCAACCGCTTTATCCTCAAACCCAATGGAAAACCCTTCGGCCTTATCCGTCGTGAAAAGTTTCTCCTTACACAGCAAGTCCGCCTTGGCGACATCTGTAATGCCACCTACAATGGCTTGGAACCCATCTCTCCGAAGGAGTTCGCTGTTAAGTTCCCGCCATCTCGTTTCCAATCCGGCCGTCGAGTCTTGCGCGAACTCGTCGCGGCCATCCCCCCTTCCTGGTCGGCAGCACTCCGGGCCCCCACCACCGCTGCGGCATCACCTGGGGACTGGCTCATCCTCTCTCAGGAACTTCACTCCACTCCTACGCTAGCTCTACAGGTCTCTTCCTTTACCCCGCCGCACACTGTTTCGGTGACCTTCTTTCGAATCCTCCCACACCGTCTCATAGACCGCACCCCCATTGGCTCTAGCACTGTTCACATTAAGAACGTTGCGGCTGTGCATACCTATGACCGTTGGGTTGCAGGGCCGTTTCATACAGGTGCAGGGCTAGGCGCACGGCTGGAGCTTCTTCACGACGGCTTCCCAGATCTTGCCTCCATCCGCCGTCTTCTCTACTCACAACAGCCGCTGGATCATGAGCTTCGTTAGACACGCGCTCTCACATCCTCTCCTCCACCTATCTTTCCTAACCTCACCCATGACTTTCTCCGGGAACAACCTAGCCTGCAGCGAGACCTCCTTTTTCACCTCTACACCCGCACCCTTCCTTCGGGCGCTCGATTCCAATTTGCCATTGATAGAGGACGGTGCTCTCTTTGCGCATCTGGAGACACAGAGACCATCTCCCACATCTTCTTCCGCTATGGTATCGCTCCCGCTGTTATATCTGCGCTGGGCTCGGTTGCCCGCCGTCATCTTGGTTGCTCGCCCCCTGAAGAGCTTCTCCTTTTTCCTCTCCGCGCGAGAGTTGGACAATGCGCTCCCTGGAGTCTCCTCGTCGGTGCAGCTGCCAAGGGGATTTGGAATGCGAGATGTGAAAGAAAGTTTCACGACACGTCTGCCACCAAGTTTGAAGTGCTTCAACTAATCCTCGCACAATTTCTTCTCGCTTTCAAGATCTTTCTCTGGAGAAGGTCCTCTCAATCCGCTAAGAAACAACAACGTTCCGCCTCCCGCATCAAGATCGCCACTCGTCTCCGTTTCATCTGTTTTGACGACACAGGAGTCCCCTCCATCCACCCTGCCCTTCGTGCCTCGTGGCTTCTTGGCAACCCCTTCCGTCCACCATAGATGCTTTCACCATCTTAGAGCGCTCCCCCCTGATTGCCGGGGGATATCCCCCTTTGGGGATAGGGGAATAACGTGTTGTGACGTACTCCTTATAGGCTGTTGGTCATTTGGCCATATTCCCTGCTTGCTCCATGTATGTTTGTATACAGGTTACGACCTTAATATAACCTTTTAACCTTATCTGTCCACGACCCGCTTTCACTCGTGTGCTCAGCGTTTGTCATTTTCACAAAGCACCCTCCGTTTCAAGCCAGTCGATACAAGAAACACGGAGCTGATCGAGGCGTGCGTCTCGAAGTCTCCCGATACGACTGGACATGGCTCAATCTTGACCAATGTTGCGTGCGTGGTGAGGACGCGGCTCCAGAATAGCGGTTCGGCAACCATCCCCATGCGCATACGGACGCCCTCCACACGATCAGATGCTTTGGGCCAGTCACCCCCCCCCCCCCCCCCCAAACCTTGTATCGCATGACGGACGGTTTTCGGTTTGTACACCCTGTTTCTCGATGTTTGAACAATCGGGAGCCCCGGCTACAGTGCGCACGTGTGCTTGGATTCAGCGGGCTGGTGCTTGCAACCGAAATGCACTTCAGGTGAACGGGAGACAACGGTTTATGAAAAAAACTTGCTTTTGAGTTCGGTTTCGTGCGGCAAAAGTGCTTATACGGTATGTTCTGGGACCAATTTAGACGCATTGATGTCAGTACAACCGGCTTGTCAATATGGCGAATGTCAGTGTGGCGCGAAACAGGGTGTAGTCCAGAAGAGTGACGTATTTACACCACACAACACCGCACCGCACTATACGTACCGTACCAAGCCGTGTCTAACCCTAGTGGAAAGTGCTGACCCTAGAAAGTTTTGACTGAGGTTACCAATTTACCATCCAACCCCATCGTTCTATCCAACCAAGCAAAAGTGAAGTGATACTACGCAAGAAATTTCGGAGCGCATACGTCAATCTCGCGCTTCGAGGGAGTTCCTCCCACCCCGTCCCGAGACCTGTGCACCTGTTTCCTTGTATAAAAAGCGCTCGTTCTGTCCGGCTTCACTTAACCCAAGCAAACAGTAATTACTTCCGCACTATTGCCATCGAGTCACGCCATGGCGCTTGCTAGACGCTGTACGCTCTTTCTTCTCCTCGTTCTTGGTTTAGCCTACATTGCAAAGGCAGCCATTGCTCCCACGGCCACAGCAGGCCCCAAGTGCAAGAACGCGTTCCCTCAGAGGCCTCTGTGCAAGTTCGTGGACAGCTTGACCACGCGCGTGATTCCCACTCTCGATGGCACCAAGCCGCTCACAATCGGCTCCTATCAAATATACCAGGTACCTTTCGCACCCGCTCGTTCCAGCAACAACTTGTGGTTGAAGCGCGTCACCCACGCACGCTATTCCCAAAGGTCTGGCTCTTTTCGAGGCGCGAACGCGCAATGCGCCTCTGCATCTAACCTAGTCGATTCCCTTCGAAAATCTTGTGCGCATGGCAGAAATTCCATCGCGATCTGCCGGCGACGAAGCAGTACGCGTACGGCACGAGTCAGAAGACGGCGTCGTACCCCGGCCCCACCATCGTGGCCAAGGTGGGCATCGACACGACGGTGACGTGGGAGAACCATCTGCTCGACAACACGCACATGTTCACCGTCGACCCCACGCTCATGGGCTACAAGTACCCCAAGCGGGGCATCCCCATGGGTAAGACTCTTATCCGAGCGCTCCGAGCACCTCGGAGCGCTCTTTACCCTACCATCATTTTCCTTTGGTATCTTGGGCTCTCGGCTCGAGAGCGGCACTCCGCTCGTTGCAATCGCGTGCGAAACACTCAGTCTCCTCGCCACCGATGTTAAATGCCATGACCATGCAGTTGCTCACAGGCACGGCGGTAGTCAGCAGAGCTTCTACGACGGGCACCCTTTCGCGTGGATCACACAGTACGGCGAGAAAGGCCCCACGTACGCGACGAACGTGTACAAGTACGTGAACGACGAGGCGTCCACCATCTGGTACCACGACCACATGGCCGGCTTGACGCGCCTCAACGTCGCTGCCGGCCTGGCGGGGCTGTACATTATCACGGACCCCGAGGTTGAGTCCAAGTTCACCTGGCTGCCGCCCGCCTCCCGCACCGTGCCGCTCGCCATCGCGGATCGCCTCTTCTTCGCGAACGGGTCGGTGAACTACCCGAACGTGGGGATCGTGCCGAACGTGCATCCCAACTGGATTCCCGAGTACCTCGGCGACACCAACATGGTTAACGGCGTGGTACGTTGCTCTGCTAGACACACGGTCATCGCCCTTACCGGGACAATTTGCGCGACGTGCGATCATTACCATAGGAGCTCGGGTGTGATGCAGTTTCATGCGTTTTCTGTTGCTCGCGCAGGTTTGGCCGTACCTCAAGGTCCGGCCTGCGATGTACCGGTTCAAGATGCTGGGTGCGGCGAACGCGCGTTTCTACAATCTGCAGTTCGTTTGCGCGCAGCGCGGCGACTACCCCAACTTCGTGCCACCGCTCAGGGGCAAGGTTCTCGATATAATCAGCGTAAGTACTTATTAAGAGCTCCCTCGACATATTATGGTTTACAGCTCTCAAGCAACAGCGGTTCACAAACCGATAACACTATCTGATTTACGCGCAGATTACCACCGACGGCGGTTACTTGCCAAAGCCGGTGTACTCCAAGTCACTGCTGCTGGTTCCCGGTGCTCGCCAGGATGTGCTCGTTGATTTCTCCAACCTGCCCGACACGTGCAAGGACGTGATTCTCCAAAATCTTGCTGCCGCGCCCTTCCCCGCTGGTGTGACGGCTGACCGCGACACGGGGCTTGTAATGCGCTTCGTGATCACCAATCGCAAGCGCTTTCCCGCGCCGAAGATCCCCAGCTCCATCTCGGTACGCGCGCATATCGATAGGAACCCGGACCTCCCAACTTGCAAAGCCAATTTTAGTGTTGCAAATCAGTCGGAAGTCCCCAGCTCCATCTGGTTACGCGCTTGTCGTGACAAAATCCCTGGTGCAAGCCATCGACTCCGACTCGGAGTCGTTACAAGCCTCCGCAATACCACGATTTCCACGTGTGTCCCCTTTCCCGCATTGTTGAACAGTACTTGCCTCCAATCAACTACAAGAACATCCAGAAGGTTCGCTGGCACCGCCTGGTGGAGGAGATGGATCCCAAGACGAACCTGCCCGTCCGCGTCACCATCGACAACCTCGGGTTTGCCGACCCCATCAGGGACTACCCCAAGCAGGTGAGTACCACGTCGCTCTTCCCAATCATACGATTCAGAACCAGTGCAGCTATGTAAAGCTTCCTGCCGGTCCGCACCCCACCCCAACACACCCCAACCCCGCCCCACCTCACCCGTCCGTATTTTCTTTCCCCGGCAGGGCACGAACGAGCTGTGGCATATCATTAACTTGTCGGCCGACGCGCACCCCATGCACTTCCATCTCGTGGACCACCGCCCCGTGTCGCGCCGCCCCTTTGACGTCGCGGCGTTCCAGGCTGGCAAGTGCGCGTTCCGCGGCAAGAAGCTGCCCACCTGCTGGACTGGACCGAGGGTTCGGATCGATCCCACTGAGGACGGTTTGAAGGACACCACAACCGCGTACCCCGGTCAGGTGCTGACGCTGTGGTTCGGCTGGCACGATGGCAATGGCAAGCCTTTCCCGTTTGACGTGACCGTTGGCCCGGGCTACGTGTACCATTGCCACATGCTGGATCACGAGGATAATGACATGATGCGGCCGTTCAAGGTGATCAAGTTAGCGCCAGAAAGACCGTTGTTGGTTCTAACTCATTGATGAGCTGCGGTTCTAGGACTTCGCTTGATTATGTCTCACGAGACTAGATGCATTAGTGTAGCAAGTTTCGAATAGGACTAGGATTGATTGTGCGTCACGAGAGAAGTTGCACTAGTAGGACAGGTTGCATGTTTTAGCACCTGTGTCTCTGGAATGTGTTTTCTGCCTATGCCTAGGGGAGCTAGAGCAGCTGGGACTCTGGCAAAGTCTGGATCAGTAGGGTGATGTATCCTTTTGGTAATAAGGACAGTATGCATTTCCTAAAGGAGAAATACAAGGCACTTCCTTCGGAAAAGAGGATATACGAACAACTTACACTGCAATGCTGTGTTAACAATGTAGCAACACAATGGTTGTTTAAACATTTCACGTATAAGCAGAGAGGTGGTGCAACCTAAAAAATGCTAACTGAAAAGTGCTATTTTTCAGTGTTGCACCAGGACTCATCCCGTTTTTGCAGATCTACACATTAGCGGAGTGTACAGTTTGCAATATCAGTACTAATGGAGTTATTACGATATGTCCACAACAACAGAGGCACGGCAAATTGGCGGGAACACGTTGTCAGCTCCGTCGCACAGAGAAATGCTCCCACCTGTTTTTTCTCCCTCGAGAATTGTGACCGACCAGATTTGGTCCTCAGAGATGTCCACATCACAGATTATTTTGTCTAATTTCCGGTCGCCGTTCTTCCAAGATTGCAGGTGACGCTCCAGCCATCTGAGATTGTACAGACTTTCCTGGTATAGATCTACGTGGATTCGTCACCTGCTGTACCAGCGTGCTCTCGGCTGGTTTTTTCTGAGCTAGTGCGATCCAAAATGGCAGATTTTGTGGAGGAGCCTCGTGTGGTGCAGTCTGAGAACCACGGATGGCAGAAGGTGACTAATGTTAAGAAGCAGCGTCGCCAGGAACAGAAAGACTCAAAGAAGCCGTCAGCTGCAGGAAAATCCGCAGGTGGGAAAGGGTCGATCGGCCAATCCGTGTTTTCTTCGCTGGAGGATGAATCTAAGCAGAGGAGAGCGAGGATCGAAGCTCGCGCAGCAGCTGCTGCAGCAGCTGAGCGGGAAGCGGAGCGTGCAGAGTACGACGCTGACGATGACGATGATGATGATGAGGAGAGGGAAGCCAAGGCCCCAGCAGCAGCAGAGCCTAAGAAGCCTAAGAAACCTAAGAAGCCCAAAGTTACCGTTCTGGAGGCTGCGACAGCGATCAAAGTGGACGAATTGTCCGCGTTCCTTGTCGAGATCTCGGTGCGTGCCGACATTTCTAACCCATTTCGGTGGCTGACGTCATTTTATTGCTTTGAATCTGTTAACTTCGGGGACATCGGCCGGAATATGCTAAAAAAATTCGCGTTCCAAAATGAATGTTCACAACGTTTACTCGTTTGCGGATCGAACTCCTCACCCTCCGGTGCTCAATGTGTGTCGCTGCTGCTCTTTTTGTCCATCAACTCTCTGTCTCCTTGCCTGCGTTCAGGAATCCTTCGCAGGCATGCCGGATGTGCAGCTGATGCGTTGTGCGGATTTCTTCGCACGAGCCTTCAGCGCGGTGCTTCCATCGCAGCTCAACATCCCCAAGATCATCCGAGATTCCAGCTTGGCCAAAGCCCTTGACGTGAGTCGCTCCACTATATCCCTCTCTTTCACGCAGATCTGACTACGCGGTTGCGATCAGTACCTGTTTCGTTTTCGCCTAAAGTCGAATTAGGCCGCGTTGAAATGGCTTCACTCTCGATCTAAGCCTTACCTTTCGTTCCCTTCCCTGCAGTTACCTTGGAATGACATTCCCGAGGAGGTTCGCACAACCGCCTCTGAATGGCTGGCGGAGCGGCCTGCGGACGCGCTGGCGAAGTTTCTGGTTACCCTAGTGCGATCGGCGCTCGAGGATGTGCTTCCAGTCGGCAAGGTGGCCAAGGGAACCGCCGCACAGCCGCTGACGCCGCCCAAGGCCAAGGTGCGACTTTACGACAGGCTCCTTTGTTCTCCCCGTTTCCTGAGATTGTAGTCAAATTGTGCCTGGAAACATGAAATAAGTCATTGTTTTTAATCTCGTCCGGAAGAAGCGAACTAGGACCACAAAAGAACAACCAGAAAGTGGAAGACTTGCTTATTGAGAACCTCACTTCGTTAATTCTACCAAAGAAAGAGGTCACAAAGAACCATACCATTCATACACTGGGTCTGAATTTACTGCAGGTGGGCATGCTGGTGCTGCTGGTGCTGCTGCTGCGGCGACGGCCGGACGTGATGCTACAGGCGGCCGACTCCATCCGCACGGACCCTGGCTGCCTCGGCCAGGACAGGCTGCCCGTGCTCGCCTGGATGTACGGCCAGGTGCGTCCTCCCCCTTCCTGCTTTCCTCCCTCCCTCCCTTCCGTCCTCGCTGACTGCCCTCATTCTGTCCATGGTGCTGGTCAGCTGCTATAGATGTACAATCCAGCTCTGTGACCTCTCTGATTTATCATTTTTATTTCACTCATACACCCCTCGCCACTTCACAACTCCCCCCCCTCCAACCCCAACCTCCGGTGTATAATTGCCACGTGGCTGCCAGGTGGCAGTGGTGGATCTGGTATCGGGCATGGCGCTGCTGGTCAGCAACCTCATGCCCTTCACATCGGGCAAGCAGGGCTCGCCTGTGGGCCGCGACGTCACTCTCACCTACTTCCAAACGTGAGTATCCCCATCGTCTGGTCCCTTCCCTTTGGCCTTTTCACCAATATGTTGCCCGTTTTCACCAAAGCAGTGCCTTATAGTAATGAGGTCACTGGTACTTCCAGCTGGAAAAAAAATCCCCATCGTCCCTTTCCCCCCTCCCTACCCCAGCGTGCTGCTGCGCGGCTCCGAGTGAAACGCGAGAGAGGTGCTGCTGAACGCGGCGCTCGTTTCTGAGGCGCCTCAGTAACATCTTTCCCCCCCACCTCCCTCCCTTCCCCTCTACCATTTCCCCCCTTTTCCCCACTCTCCCCCCCCCAGCGTGCTGCTGCGCGGCAACGAGCGCAAGGCGAGGGCGGTGCTGCTGAACGGGGCGTTCCGCAAGGGCGAGCGGCTGGTGCCCTACTCCACGCTCGACCAGTTCCTGCGCCTCGCCTTCCCCCCCGCCTCTGCCCGCACCAAGGCCACCGACCGCTTCACTGCACTCTACCCGCTTCTTAAGGATATCACGCTCGCAGGCTCGGGCCGAACCAAGTCCACCAAGGCTGTTGCCACGATGCTGCTTCCGCTGATGTTCCGAGCCGCAGGGGAAGGTACGGGTGGAGGTATGGATGCATGCAGGTGGGGCTATGGGTGCATGTGAAGGCAAGGGTGCGTGTGAAGGCAAGGGTGTATGTGAAGGCAAGGGTGCATGCGAAGGCAAGGGTGCATGGGTCTGTGTTTTCAGCTGCTTTGGAACCAGGGTTCAATTTGTGAGAACGCTGGACAGGGCGTGCCATCTGTGCATGTCTTTCATCTGTGCTTACTCTCATTGACACCCCGTGCTGCCTCTTGCCCACCTGCCCTGCCCGCTGCCCTCTCTTCCCTCTCAGAGCCTGAAGCGCTCGCCCAGGAGGCGAGCAGCCTCTTCGTATGGTGCTTGGCAGAGAACCCTGACTGCTACCTGCAATGGGTGAGCGCCCCCGTCTACTTTTGACACGACTCATAGCTTCTAATGCTGCTACAACGTTTCATTCTATCAGTCTCGTTCTATCCAGGTGGCTCTCAGCTTCACCTGGACAACTGTACCCTCAGCCTCCTCTCCTATCTGTCCTTTAATCCACACTAGTCGAGAGGCGTGCAGTCTCCACACAACTGCAACTCGATTGCACAAGGATTGTTCCATGGCTTGGGACAAGCCATGTCGGTCACACAGATGGCTTGTGCCTAACTGCATGTGTTGTGCGTGGCTGTTGCAGGAGCGGCATCATTCGGAGGACCATGCCACGAGCACACTCCTGCTGATCCACCCTTATAACTCAACTTGATGAACAAAGCATGTCTGCCTGTGCGTTGTCCTGGCAGGAGCGGCATCATGCAGAGGACCATGCCACGAGCACACTCCTGCTGACCTATGTGCTGCGCTCATGGCCCACTGTCAAGACGCAGCTCGCGCCCTTTGACCCTCTGCGCAAGTTCCTTGCCTCCATTCGCAAGAAGGTGTGTTCTGCCTGCTGTGCAGTGTGCGTGATGCTTGCTGTGGGTCAGTGTGCCGGCCATTCTCCCCCGCTCCTGTGCCCCGTGCCCCTGTGCTCCCATGCTCACATGTTCATGCTCTCATGCTCCCATGTTCCTATGCTCACCCATGCTCCTATGCTCACCCATGCTCCTATGCTCACTCATTCTCCTATGCCCACCCATTCTCCTATGCTTAATTCCTAGCTTCTCATTTCCCCCACACTCTCTTGCTCCACACTTCGTTCCAAACCTCTTCTACTCCAACCCCTCCTCGTCCCATCCGCCTCCCCTGCTCCCTCTCAGCAGCACATTGCGGCATTGGAGGAGCTGGACAAGGGCCAGATAACACAGAAAAAGGATATCCAAAGCGCCTACGCAGTTTGAGATTGCCTTGAAAGTTGCATCCTCTCACTCCACACCTCATCCCATCCTCTTCTTCCCTCTCCCCATCTGTGCAGCACATTGCGGCATTGGAGGAGTTGGATGAGGGCCAAATAGCGCGGAAAAAGGACATCCAAAGCGCCGACGCAACAGCGAGGAAGCTGCAAGGGAAGGTGGCTGCAGGGGGGAGCTGCGTGGTGGTGTCGGCTGCTCTGGTGGCCGTTGCAGCAGCAGCAGCGTATGCAGCCTTCAACTTGCCACCTCAAGGCGAGTTTAACCTGGATATTGATGCCGTGCTGGCATTGCTCAAGGGTAATTAACTCTGGAGGGCGAGGCTAAATCCCCTTACCGGAGAGGAGGAAGCGGTGTTTTGTGTCTCTACAGCCTTGTGACAGAGCAATTGGCCTGTGTTCTTGGAAAGTGGTACTATGCTATGACAGAGCCATATTGGAATACTCGTGGTGGTTGAAGATACAGAAGAAAGACGTTTATGCATTGTACTCAGTATGCTTCTATCAGACTCCTATAGAAGAGTTCCGTAGGCGTTGGTGTAAAAGTGCACATTCGTGTGATAAGCAGCAGCACACAACATAAACTGACTTGCTGATAAGCTCTACGATAAGCCCAAGCCTACACCAACCTAGCGAGTTAGACATGTCTGAACATTTTTTCTCAAAAGAAGTGAGGCATGAATCTGTAACGGTGCTGCAGCTCCACACAGAAGGGCAGCGGCAGTTACCAATCAGCGATGTAACACTATTTAGAGTGATTGTAGCCAGCGGGTTTCCTCTCTAACTGCTGAAACTTACAATCAGCATCTAGAATACCAGATGTCTTGTAGTCCTGTTCTTTGCCATCAATTACGGCCCTCTCTTTCGATGGGCCGTTCTTTCCCTGAGATGCACTGAATCTGGACAGGCGTGAAGCAGAGTCCTGGTATGTCTGCCCTATGATGCCATGCACCTTGTGGGATGCATGTAGGCTGACAATGCGAATGTTCAGCTGCAGGACAGGAGGGGGAAGGGGAACGGGGGTTTTGACATCAGGGAAACATGTTCTAGTAGTTGCAGACTCAGATTCCTGACAACTCATGGCAACCATTTCAGTGCACGACTTACATAGTTGGGATGGGACTTGCGTGAGAGGTCTGGAAGAATGTCAACCGTCAGATCCACCACCCCTCGCACGCGCACTCGCACGCTTGTCTTGCGCCGCTCGATCCTGACCGTATGCCGAAGCAGATCGATGGTCAGGATGTCATCTGGCATAGACGCACTGTTCACCTCCAGTTGACCCTGCACCCCCTCAGGTGACACGTCAGCTGCTGACTGTGCAGAAACGACGATGTGGATGCCTGAGCTGGTTACCACCCCGATTTCATCAATGTACTGCAGGAGAAGAGAACAATGAGAAGGGAAGGAAGCAGAGGGAAACAATAAAAATCGTCAGAAACACCTCCAAACTCATGTTTGTAATGTTGACCCTGCACGCCCTGAATCATTAACTTTTGCCAACTACCTTAAAGCCTTTTCACTCACCGTGCTTCCATTCTTGGCGCCAGCAAACAGATGCATGTTGATCTGAACCTTCCGATCGCTCACAAGGCAGTAGCTCGCGCCATCCTGACCGTGGAATTCAAACTTCTCGCCATGCCGACCAATCAGGTGTGGGTCTCCCTTTGCTGACGTTTCAGCAACATGGGGCACACCACCACTGCACCCGTTGCTGCTGCTGTTGCCGCTGCTGTTGCCACTGCTATTGCTGCTGCTAGGGTTTTCACTGGTGCTGCTGCAGTTGGAATTTGGAGAAGTTGGAGTTATGCTGCTGCCTGAGAGTGTGCCATTATTGAGTGGCGCCTTGTTGTTGCGTTTCACTTTGCGTCTGTGGGAGGCGTGCGGGCGCGGAGGTGTGCTAGTAACCGTGCTGACCGTATCAGGAGAGCACGGGGAGGATTTGGGAGGAGGAGGTGCGGTAACAGGAGGGCAAGTGCAGTTGTGAGTGGTTGGGTTCGGTTGAGAGGTAGAGTACAAGGGACTGGGAGCAAGCGCGGAAGCAGGTTCCGTGGGGTTGGAAGCGGGTTCCGCACTGGACTGAACGACAGAGAGGAGCGTGGCCATGACAGCTGCAGCGAGCATGAGGTGTCGCATGAATCGCATGCTGCCGACTCGCGGACCCATCCCACGCCCGCTCATGGCTATGTAGCGCCCCATCCTGCGACTCCTGCGATGCATGCGACGCAACTGACGCCTGTGATGCCTTGACTGACTGGAATGTCAGCGATGCTACTGAGAGTGTTTCAGAACCTGTGCATTTCTTAAAGAGACGCGACGAGCTTTAAGCCTTTTGACCAGAAAAGCCTCCTAAAACCGACGTGAATTGCTTCGATCCGACACTGCTCTCCACGCAAATCCCCTTCCACGCCCGCCGTCGCCGCCGCCGCCATGCTCACGGCGCCTCCAGCGAGGTCAAACGCGTTCGCCGCCACGCTCGATCCAGGAGAGGGCGGAGCGCGACGGCTCGTGTCCCTCCGACGCGGAGGCGGACGGCGGAGTCACGACTTCTCGCTCATCGCGAGGTGGCTTTTGAGTTACTTAAGCGGTACCAACGGAGGGCGGAGGCCGCTCGTTCATAGCGCGCGTCCGCGCCGCCGTACCGACCAAGCCATGGACGCGAGCCGCGTCATATCCGGTTTCGAGGCGAGCCGAGGCAATACGAAACTATACATGGCTAACGAGCGAGACGAAACGACTACTTTCCTAAATGCGCAGGAAAGGGACTAAATTGCGCAAAGTACGCGTCAGCGCAGCGTGCTTGCGAGGAGGAAGCGCGAAAAGCTCGATTACAAGGTCGCAGGGCCCGCGCAATTACGAGAAGAATTGCGCCCCGCGTGTGCTCTAGTCAGGCTGCCCAGCAAAAGAGATGTTGCAAATCCTCGTTTCAAGTTACTTCGATCTCATAACGCCACTTCCGGAAGTCCTCCACCATATTGATCAACGATATTCACCTCTTCATACATGTAATTGCTGAAAATGGAAGCTTTGAAGAAGAGTCAGCCTGGGCCAGTATGGGTCTGTCTGCGTGCACAGCAAGAACAGTAGGGACGCGGACTAATTGATGGCTCTGGTGTGGCATCTGTGCATGCAGGCATGGCATGTTTGTTGTTTGCTGCAGCTAGGAAGCAAGAATCAAGGATTAGCTGCTTGGCTGGTTGCTGCTTGTGTTCAGTAGTATCAACAAGCAAAGGATGGGGTAGCTTCCATGCTCTTGCTGCATGTGGTAGCATGGCTACCTGAGCTTGCTGCTCTTGTCGCAGGTGCAGCATTCTGATTTGGGGTGTTTGTTGCGTACCCTGGCCATTCATGTTCAGCACAAAATGTGCGCAATCGCTGTTTCTTGTCAGTCCCCGCCATCCCCGCTCGTATTTGCCTGACTCGCATCCTGTTTGTGGTGGCTGGCTATGTGCATGCATGCTGCATTCGAAGCATGAGTGGGTGCCCTGCAGTTCCACTTGCTCGCCATCACCATGCTAGCTCCATCTCACTCTCTCAGCGCTGTGACTGAGGACTTGGCCTGTAGCAGCCGAGTCATCAGGGCGCAGCACAGCACCTGCAGAGGGCACTCTGCCTTGCGTGGGCGTTTGCGTCCCTTCTGCCCTGCGTGGGTATTTGTGCTCAGGCGCCTTCTAGGATCCCCACCCACCTAATCTACAACATGCAGATCCATCCCAGCACAGCAAAGCGCAATGCAGCACACCTAAGCAAAGATAAGCACACCTGCACACCTAAGCAAATATAAGAACACCTAAGGAAATATAAGCGCACCGAAGCACAGCTGAGCACTGTAAGCACAGAAGCGGCACATCTTGAGCTCTTAGTGGCCCACCTCCATGCAGCACCCCACAAGTCCTGCACATCACCACAGAAGAGTCAGACACCAGGACAACAACGGGACATGGAAGAGCGAGGAGGAAAGAGAGCAGTTAGACACTTCCAAGGTGCGAAGCGCACGACAGCACACAAGTGAAGCTGATCAAAGGGAAAATAATAGCGGTGCATTGTGTGCATTGTGTTCATGTCAGACGTCCTTTGCGAAGCAAGCGCCAAGAGAGAAATGTACGTTAGCAAGGCCAGCAACCCCCCCCCTCCAGAATTCTCCCATCACACATACCATGACGAAATACGCAGCACTGTTGTTGCTGGCACTGCTACCCCAGAAGTTGCTGGCAGGGACAGCAATGGGACATGGAGAGGGGAGGGAGACCAGGGGACACAGAAAGAGGGAAGGACGAGCAGCATGAGAAGGTTTACAGGAGACGAGTAGGGCATTGAGGCACTGGCCTAAGACGCACGCACTACTAAATCAACCGCTGAAAACACTTGAGGGAACTGGGAAGCACTAGGGTAAGCTATAATCACCCTTACATTGCTGCAGCCGCAACCACTGTAGTGAACGTGGATTCTGCATGTATCCCTGCCACCACTGGTGCCCGTGCTGCTGGTGCTGGATAGGAGCTTCTGGTGACTGAAGGGAGGAGAGCAGACAAGAGGAGAGGAGAGCAGTGAAGAGGAGAGGAGAACAGAGAAGAGAGCAGAGCAGAGAAGAAGAAAGGAGTGCAGAGAAAAGAGGAGAGAACAGACAAAGAGAGGACAGGAAAGGAGGAGTTTGAAAGGTGAGCAGAGCGGCATATACATTTGGCAAAGCATCTAAAACACACATGGCACTGTCGAGAAAAGGTAGACTAGACGGAAACGCACAAGAGAAAGAAGCATGAGCATGTTGAGTGGAGAAGTGGTGTACCAGCTGATCCAATCACAACACATTCCCTTGACAGCTTGCCATCAGCCAGCCGTTGTTTTCCCAGTGCTCCCTGAGGACTGGTGATCCCTCACTTGCTGCAGCCCCTGCCCCCTCGAGTGCTGGAGTGAGGGGAGGTAGTATGGCATGGAAGAGGACGAGAGGTGTGAGCACGGAGAGGAGAGGCGAGTGGATGAGAGGGTGAGGATGAGAAAAAGCAGAAGAGGTGGCAGATGGCAGCTGGAGGAGCGAGTGAGACAAGAACAACGCATGGTACACTCTCACTGCTGAGACAAGAAGCAACGCATGGTGCACTCTCACTCCTGAGACAAGAAGCAACGCATGGTGCACTCTCATTGCTGAGACAAGAAGCAACACTTGGCGATACCCCACGACTCACTTCACTGCCCCCTTGCAAGCACCCCTGGCACGTGATCCGTTCACCGCTCCGCCGCTCCCCAGGCGTGCTGCTCTCCAGGTTTCTCCGTTGCTCCTGCTGCCCATGCTCGCAGGCCGTGAGGCACACACACATACGCATGGGGTGAAAGACATGCACACAGAAGCGGCACCAACAAGGGAGGGTTAGAAACAGCAGGAGGCGAGTGGCGGAGGTAAAAGCAAGAGACACGACTCTTGCCTCTGCGCGGCGACGCTCTATGAATCACTACACTCCCCCCTGCAAGCACCCCCTGGCGCGTACCACACTCTTTCTGCTTCTCTGCCACTCCTGCACCACGCCTTCCCTTCACGCCTGCTGCTCCAAGTTGCTCCAAGTTGCTCCAGGTTGCTCCGTTGCTCCGGGTGGCCATGCTCGCAGGCCGTGAGGCACGCACACACACGCATGGGGAGAGAGAGACACACACACAAGCGGCACCAACAAGAAGGAGGGTTATTAGCAGCAAGAGGGGAGTGGCGGACTCAAAAGCAAGAGACAAGACGGCTGTTGCCTCTGTGCGGCGACGCTCTACGACTCACTCCACTACCCCCTGCAAGCACCCCCTGGCAAGTACCACACTGTGTCCGCTGCTCTGCCACTCCTGCACCACGCCTTCCCTTCACGTCTGCTGCTCCAAGTTGCTCCAGCTTGCTCCGTTGCTCCGGCTGCCCATGCTCGCAGGCTGTGAGGCAAACACACACGCATGGGGAGAGAGACACGCACACACAAGCGGTACCAACAAGAGGGAGGGCTATTAACAGCAGGAGGGGAGTGGCAGACTCAAAAGCAAGAGACAAGACGACTGTTGCCTCTGCGCGGCGACACTCTACGACTCACTACAGTCCCCCCCACAGCTGTCTCGTTCTTACGTATCGTTGATCTTCCCCTGATTGTCAACAATCTCCAAGCAAACGCTTGTGAGCTTTGGATGAACGCTTGCAGCCTGCGAACTCCAAACGACGCCTGGCAATTCTTGAAGTGCTTGGTGACTACAGCGACGGCGACGACCCAAAATCCGTTCCTCGGAGTTAGTCGCACACATGCAGAGAGGGAAAAGAGGAGGACAGGGAGAGCAGGAGGGGACAAGAGTAAGTGGGAAGGTAGTTTCACGCATGACACGAAGGAGGAGAGCGACGAGACTCTCTAAGCGTGCCTACATGATCCCCCCCACCATCTTTCGCTGTTACACAACGTTGATCTTTCAAGGGATCCAAGGGAACGCCGGGGAAGTTGATGCTAACGCATGCGATCCTCCTGGCATACTCCCGCGAGCTGCTTCTGACGGCCGCGTCCGTGGTGTTCGACGCATCGACGTTTTGTGGTATTTCGTCGACGTCCTGTTGA